TGCCTTGGGTGCTGACTGGAGTGCCCCTCTGCGCTGACCGGTTGTTAGTTGAGGGATCCTTCTTTGCTGATCTGCAGACTCTGGCCAGATGACCACGCCGCCCACACGCTCTGCAGTCGACATCACGAGCCCAACAGGAGTCGCGCTGGTGTTTCCCGCCACAACCGGAGCAAGGCTTGACGTTGGTAGTCTTCGCTGGGGTCCGCTTGCCTCGAACCGCGTTGACGTCATCATCCGCGTCTTCGCCCTCGCTGTCTCGTTGAGCGTGTATACTGGGCTCTGCCACCCGCTGGCGGACCTCCTTCGTGGACTTCTCCGCTGCTTCCGCGGCCACGGCCTCTTCGTAGGCCACTGCCCAGGTCAGGGTGGTGCGGGCGAACAGCCTCTGTTGCAGCCTTTCATCTTTGAGACCGCAGACGAGACGGTCTCTGAGGGCTTCCTCCACGTTGTGGAAATTACATGGCCGTGCGGCTTTGCGAAGGGCCGCCACGAAATCTGCGATGGTCTCGCCTCCGGCCTGGTTCCGCTTGTAAAAAGCGTGCCGGCAGGCGATCTCCGACGGTTGTGGAGAATAGTGAGCCTTAAGCTTCTCCGTGATGTCAGCGTAGGTGACAGTCTTTATATCAGTTGGGGCCACCAACGACCTGGCTATGTCGAAGGTCCCCTTCCCGCAGGAACTCAGGAGGCATGCTCGTTTCTTCGCCTCATCGGTGATGTCGTGGGTCTCCAGATGGAACTCGAACCTGGACAGGTAGGAGTCCCAGTCTTCTGAGGAGGGTTCGAAGCACTCGAACTTCTGGCTTCCAGCCATCGTGGGAGACTTGGGCACCGGAGCTGGTGGCGCCTCCGCCGGATCGGCTGCTGTGCTCTGCCCGCTTTCTTCCGAGTCCGAAGTGTGGATGTCCGCAGGGCTGCCTACCTGCTCTAACATCCCACCCTCGTCGCCAATTGTTAGATCGCGCTAACAAAGGACTCGTACAGTGATTCAGCAAGTGATTCAGCTTTATTGGAAGTAATGAGCAAGCACTAACTCAGTAAGAAACCAGAACAGAAAACAGTGGGAGCTTATGCTCCTTTTAAACATAACCGGGCTAATGTAGCCACGCCTATTTACAAATAACAACCAATGAGATTGCTAGAATAAAGACCAATGGGAGTCTTTCCCTCCTAGGGAATGGTATCGTTCTGATTGGTCGCTGTTACGAAGCGACCAATAGGAAGTTCGCTCAGAGGAGCCCTGGTCTGGCTCGAAGCTTAACATGGGAGTCCTATGAGGTGGTTCATGTAATCATTTCAATACATTACAGCTGTCATGCTTCTAGATGGGTGGTTTTCAAAACCTTCTCCCTTAAGAAAACACTTACCACACAGGCCAGTGGCTACAGTGGGGCATTTCAGGGCCTAGCCCCCCAACTTCCTACCACGCCCCCCCAACTTTCATCCGCCAAAAGTGACACACGTTTGCACACCTACCACATACTTTTGTTGTGTTGCAAGCTGCTCTTTGGATCGCCGCCACCTTTGGGTGCCCAGGTTCCCATAGTGGACCCCATGATGATGTTGATGAGCCAAGGTGTGAATGGACTGCAGGGAGTGAATGGGGGTGAGTACCTGCCTGCTCCAACTGGTGAGTTTTTAAAACTAAAATTTAATTTTTATTTTGTGACGTCAGTGCTGCCCGACATTTTCAAAGGAACCCCCCCCAAAAAATTACAAAATCCTGGCTACGGGCTTCTTACCACAGGTGACCAGTATGCTTAGGAACTCCTCTGCCTGTCAGCTGTGGTATCACTGTTCATCGAAGAGAATTTGGGGGAAAGCTCAAGTGTGCACAAGTTCCATGCAGAGCAGTAGCCAAGTCCTCTTTAGCCCTACCATTGTCTTGCATTAACTCCAAGACCAAAGGCTAGACAACACACCCAACATCTCCCATAACTGCACATTGCAAAAGAAGACTGGTAGCAATGGCCAAGATGTTTTCAGGAACGCTTGATCTCATTGGGAAAGTCTCTCAGACTTCATCAGAATACAGTTTAGAAAACCTCTATTCTAGATTAATCAACACTCGAGTATGAGGGTCTTGCAATATGTTAACGTCACATGTGCTCTTCCCTTGGTATCTCCAAGTGTCACTAGGAAGTGTTGGTGGACAAATCGAGGTCAGGGAGGCAAAGGGCAAAAGAAAGCTGGCAGAACACAGGAAAGAGTACTATTTCAGGAACGTGTGTTGGACTGCAGCGCAACTGGCTCTATGCCTGTCCCAGTCTTAAAACTTCCTTGACGTTTGTGGAATGCACTTGTTGCCTGAGAAGGGGAGGGGAGGAAAGCTGGAATTAGGATTCATTTTGGCTCAGTTTCAGACAGCCAGGTTTGGACGTGAAGACATTATGATGAACCCCAAATTCAAGGCCAAAATTGAAAGTTTGTTTCTTGAAGTGAAGCTACGTACAAGTTAAGCTGACGTTGTTTGGTTTACAAATTTACATGTCCATAGATGAAATGAAAAAGGCTACATTATCTAGAATAGATCTTCTGATTTAAAATGGCACTCCTCAGCTTCAACATGGCATTAGCAGCACAAGGAATGCATACAGACCAAGCTCTGGGTGTCTGATCTGAAAATGCCCTTACCGATAGAATTCATAGAAGAAATTTAGAGTCCAGTGGCACCTTTAAGGTTTATTTGTTCTACACAGCTGCCCACCTGGAACAATAGAATCCATATATATGAAAAAATGGCCAAAAGGAAAGATAGGTAATATTAAACACTGGATAAGAAGATTTGATGGAAAGAAAAAACTCTTTACATTAACTTATTTACATTAGCATGTTAGTATTATATATCAGTGTTGAGCCCTATGATACAAACTTGTGGGTGGGTGTGTAAAACTCTACAACAGTGAGGATGAAGAATTAGTGCGGTTCATTTGCAAACAAGTGTTTCCTTCAAAGCAACAACTTGTTCAGCTTTAGAGTAAATGCATGCAATAGACATAACCACTTTTTGAAACAAGTAAATAAATGCTGCATTTCAGGAATTTTAAAAAGTCTTTCATACAATTGTGTGTGCAATGCTTCTGCATAGGAAGCAATCTATAGGCCCTGGTCACACTGGCCAGATATCGCGGGGGGGGGGAGGTGTGGCTAATTGCCCCGGTGCAGTTTGATCCGCGATTACGCGATCAGACGCGCTGGTGGCACACCACGGGTCCTTCCCTCGGCCCCGGCGGGTAAATGAGGGACCGGAGGGGAATGCCGCGCCGGCGATCACACCACGGGAATCTGGAGGCAGCCTGTGGCAAACGTTTACTAGTACCTTGGAGGTTCTACTTTTTTAACAAACATTTTCGGCGGTAAGGTGCGCTCCATTTCCCAAATGTTGGGGTGTGATCGTGCCCGGATAATCCACCCACCATCCGTGCCTCTCCCGCGGCAACTTTGCTGTGTGACCGGGGCCATATTTTGGCTTTTGATGCCTAGGGCACTGGAGATATTCTTTTAAATCTGATTTCAGCACTGGTTATTTTTAGCATTGGTTAGCAGTGGGTGTACTTTTCAGCACCAGTTGTATTTTTAAAAGTTGCTTATAGGTTTATGTACTGTTCAGCATCTTCTCACAGATACTCCAGTGTATTTTGACAAGAGTCCAATTATGACTATTTTTAATTAATTTGATCCTCTCACTGTTCAACCATTTCTTCTTATTTTGTGGTATCATTAATTTTAAAAACCCTCTTCCGA